CCCCAAAACCCCAAAACCCCAAAACCCCAGTAAGCAGAATTAAATGCGTATTAAGTTAATTTTTGAATTCAAATTTAAAAGCAATGGATAAAAATCAAGCTGAGCCCACATAAATAATTAGACCTCCCAGATCTTCATCAATTAGTAACAGTTTTAGCAATTTCCAATCATTCCTGCATCCTTAATTCAACGAATAATCTAAACTAGCTGAGATGGAGAAGTAGGTTTAACAATACTAAGATTAGTTTAAAGTCAAGGATTAAGAATGCAAAGAGCTTAAAAAGAGTCAAGCATTAAAGGATTAGAAAATAGAGTTTCTTGAAATACAGATAAACGATTTGAGACAGTAGTTAGATGATAAAGACAAGTAGCATCAGCAAATGTTTATGGCTCTTAATGGTGGGTTTTCAAATGACTTTGAAAAAAGTGGAAGCAGCTAAATTAACAATGAAAAAATAGAAAGCTACTAATAAGAGATCAAAAGGCTTTAGAACTCTCATGGGATTGAAGTCGACAATTTAATATCAAAAGTTGAATTCTATCAAAATAAATTCAATGAGTTGGAATTACAGACTAAGCTACTCAAATCTGATCATGAATAAGAACTTGCTTAGTATTAAATCTTTGTTTAGGAGCTTGAAAGCTAGAAAATAAGCTTTGTCGAAAAATTCAAACATTCAGAAAATCAGAGACACCTATCTTAAGAGTAATAGGAGACCAAATTTAGAAAAATGGTTAAACTCTATGAGAATTAACTGGAGGAGAGAAATAATCAATCACAATAAGATATCAAGGATCTATAAGAGTAGAGTGAAAAGGAAATTATGTCACTTAGAAATTTCTATGAGATGGAAAAGGAAAAACTAGAGCTCAGATTAAATGAGGAGAAGGATAAGAATTAGCATAGAATAAGCATTTTGACTGAAGAGTTCGAGTAAAAACTAAGAGATGAACTCTAAGATAGGGAGGAAGAGATTGAATGCCTTCAGACTGAACTAAGAGAAAGTGAGTAAATTCATTAGGGATTCGCATAGTAGATAGAATATGAGCTAGGCCTGAAATAATAAATGATAGAAAATCTTGACAAACAGCTGAGAGAGACTAAGGAGAAGATAGAGCTACTTGAGAATGGAAAGTACAGTGCCTTCTAAAAGTAAATAGAAAGCTTTGAGCAGCAAAGATCAGAATACAATTCTAAGATTGAGAGACTGCAGAAAGAACTTAATGAGAAAGATAAAAATAATGCCTTAATTTAGAACTAGTTGGATCATGCTAATGAAGAGCTTCAAAAGAAGAATAATGAATATGAAGATCTTAAGTAGTAATATGAGGATTACAAGAAGTAAACACAGGAAAAGATTGATAATCTCAAAAAGAGAATAAGCGATTTTTAGGATGAAAACCTTAAATATAAAGTCTAGATAGAAAGGGAAAGAGCATAGTACAGATAATAGGTTAGTTATTTATTTGAATTATAATGATATAGAGCGAGTATTAGATGAGATAGATTCATGAAATGCAAAAGTCAGAAGATTAAATCATAAGAGAAAATTCTTAGGCATTGTGTAATTATAATAAGAAAATTTATGCTTTTATAGAGCAAAAAGAGGAGGAGATTAAAAGCATTTAGATTGCTAGATAGACTGTTTAGAATTAGTTAGCAGATTTATAGACAGAAAAAAATAACTTGGATAGAATCCTTAATGAAAAAGCTATAGAGTTGAGATGCTGTACATGCTTGTGTCTTTATGAATTAAATCAATTTAAGGACCACATTTAGAATGATAGATGCAAGCCAGCCATAAGTAAAGAATAGCTTTAAGAACTTAAACTTAAGAACAGAGAAAATTATCAAGGCAAAAATAAAGATGATATTTCTATTTATCTCAACAAGTTTGAGCTAGTTTAAGATCAATAGAATGAGAAAATTAGCTTTAAAATGAGTCTCTCAGTATCAGACAAGTCAGGGATCTAATTTGAGCTTAATATGACAAGAACCTTACTCCAATTGATAGGTTTAATAACTTACCTCGTTAAGAGAGAAAAAGAAAATGAAATTGGGAAAACCGCTTTTAAAATTTAGGAATAACTTATGAAAAATACTGGACCAACCATTAAGTCAGACAAGAACACCTAAAATATTCTTAGGATAAGTTTGCAGCACTTTTTCAATGAGATTCTAAGAAACCAATAACTAATGGCAACCAATGATCATGTGAAGTCATTCTTTGAAGATATCAAAATTTACAAAAATTTGAATAATGAGAGAGAAAAGCAAAGTCAGTTTAAAGATATAGTTATTGTAGAATGCTTTGACGAGGCTAATAATGCTTAATCTCAGAAGTAATCTAGAATGGGTAAAAGTTTGAATAGCTTTAGAAATAGTGTCAATTCTACATCTGGTAATACTGAGGAGACTGGGAAAATTGACTATAGAGAGTTGTAGAGATAACTTGGAATTGAGTGAAGTTATAAATTATAAGTTAATAATTTGAGTCTAATATTATTTGAAGTTATTAATATTAAATTTTGAGGTCAACATAAATTGAATGATGAGAACATCAACTGTGTCCCAGCGAGATTCAAAGCTCATTAAATAAGACAATGGCTCTAAGTATCCAAATTATGTTGAGTTAGGAAGCATGAAAAGCAAAGGTTAAATTCTTTCGATTGCTAGCGATCATGAAGAGGAGGAGGAAGTTATTGAATGTAAATTTAAATTCTAATCAGCATATTTGTAGTTGTAATGCCAAACACTAAACAAAATCAGAATGATAGTTCTAGAAAGTCTTCTGAGCACTCAAGGAAATCAAACGGAAAATATAAGGAGATCCCTATCGACCCTCTGTAATACTTCGAGGAAGATGAAGGAAGCTAGATAAAGGTAGAGCAGATCACATTGAATAGAGCAAGTATTAAAAAAAGAACTAATTCTGAAGTTCCTTCAGCAAATGACATTGATGATCAAAGTGAAGAAATAAAAGAGTCTTTTGAAGAGACTTAAAGAGGAGAGCTCTTGAGATATGAAGTCTTTATTATAGCGAATCCTCGTAGTGGCTCTAGAAAAGGGGCTTAACTGCTTAAAAATTACGGCGGGAAGTTGCTTCAAATGGTTTTCAATGAAAAAAATGCGAATGTTTAAGTATTTGACGTAATTACACAAAGTATGACTGTAATCAGCTTAATTAAGGAAACAATAATAAGTAAACTTGCAATTTTTATCAGTTATAGATCAAACCAATTAGTCGTAACTGATTGTCGCAGTTCTAGGAGGGGATGGATCACTTGGTTGCTTCATTGACTCAATCATTTAAGAATAAATCATTGCTGATAACCTTTCAAAAATTCATTTCACTGGGCTTCCTTTTGGAACAGGAAATGATACAGGCAGAGCATTTGGATGGGGAGGAGATGAAGGAAAGCTAGCCAAAAGTCTAGAATATATGGTAGAAAATTTAATACTAGGCAAACGAGAAAATCTGGCTCTATGGGAAGTTGAATTCAAATCTGCAGAGACTCATGGATATTCAGGTTCTGCTAGAATCAAGATATCAAAAGAAGATGAACACTATAAGAAAATAATGTGTTGCTATTTTAACGTCGGCTTAGATGCTGTAATTAGTAACGGTAAGTAGATCATTACAAATATTCAAACTTATTTTAGATTATGAGGGAAGAAGAACCAAAAGTAAAGCATTGAATAAGGCTAAGTTTACCTGGCTGGCAATAAAGCACTTATTATGCAGCTGTTCAGCATTTAGTGTCAATAATTTTCTTGATTCGATTCATGAAATTAAAGAATAGAAGAGTCACAAACTTTTAGATATGTCCTAAATACCTGTTAATCCAAAGATGATGTTAGGAACTAATCTACCTTCGTTTTATGGGGGTATGCAGAGTGAGGCTTGGTTTAAAAACAAAAAAAATAAGGGATTTAGCTCCGAAATTATTGATGATAGCAGACTAGGTCAATAATCTTATAGCGATAATAAGATAGAATTAATGGGCTAGCATTCAATAGGCAGACTATTCACTCTGAAAGAAATGAGGAGATACTGCCAAATAGAAGGACCTTTTGAGTTTCATTTTAGAAAAGATATTCCTCAATAGGCTCCTATTTTCATTTCAATTGACGGCGAGAACTATGTGATGTTTGGTGCTGAGAAATTAGTTTTCAGACAATATCATCTAGCTCCATACATAACCATTATTAGAGGTCCCAAAAAACCATTTAGAACATGAAATTCAAAGTTTAAAATCATTCATTATTTTGAAGATAGATATCAAAACAAAAAGAGTTTAATAGCCTTAAGCTTAGATATATTTCAAATTATTCTTAATTTTATCATTTCAAATAAGTGTGGGTGAATCCTGATGACCGGGGTTTTGGGGTTTTGGGGTTTTGGGGG